GAAAGTTTTGAAATTTCATACACAACTCGTCTCATCGTGGTGGACTGTCGATCCAAGCTCGGGTCTGGTTGTACACCCGGGATTCTCTTTATTGTGCTCGACGTACGAGTCATTTAAAGAAAGCACTTGTTTTCTTCTCACAGGTAAACTAACTTTATTTACACTGGATAGCTCTATCAGTTCTAAACTGTTCTTCCTAGAGGTTCAGTAAGGATCATCTCTTATTGATCCAGTGTTACTACTGGAGGAAACCTAAACTAAACTAACTTTATTTGATACTGGATAGCTCTATCAGTTCTAAACTGTTCTTCCTAGAGGTCCAGTAAGGATCATCTCTTATTGACCCAGTGGTACTACAGGAGGAAACCTAAACTAAACTAACTTTATTTGATACTGGATAGCTCTATCAGTTCTAAACTGTTCTCCCTAGAGATCCAGTAAGAGGTATTCCTTCTTGATTCAGTGTTACTACAGGAGGAAACCTAAACTAAACTAACTTTATTTGATACTGGATAGCTCTATCAGTTCTAAACTGTTCTCCCTAGAGATCCAGTAAGGGGTATTCCTTCTTGATTAAGTGTTACTACAGGAGGAAACCTAAACTAAACTATCTTTATTTATACTGGATAGCTCTATCACTTCTAAACTGTTCTCCCTAGAGATCCAGTAAGAGGCATTCCTTGTTGATTCAGTGTTACTACAGGAGGAAACCTAAACTAAACTAACTTTATTTATACTGGATAGCTCTATCAGTTCTAAACTGTTCTTCCTAGAGATCCAGTAAGGATCATCTCTTATTGATTCAGTGTTACTACAGGAGGAAACCTAAACTAAACTAACTTTATTTATACTGGATAGCTCTATCAGTTCTAAACTGTTCTTCCTAGAGATCCAGTAAGAGGCATTCCTTGTTGATTCAGTGTTACTACAGGAGGAAACCGGTTTCCTCCCACAAGGAATGTTAACAGGGTGGGTTGGGACTAGCTCCTAACTGACCCTTCCACCGTAGCTGTACTCCGTGATCAGACATGGGTCATAAGGTGGCTGCCAGAGACGCCCTTAGAAAGCCTTCGACTCGATCAGGTTGAGCTGCGTTCTTCGTAATTCAACTTACAGCTCTCAGCTGCAAGTAAGAATAATTAGCACACCCCACTTACTCACTTTTATCAAATTTTCTCGTTCTGTAGTTATCACGAAACTGGTGAACCGTGGCTATCAACCTCACTTGGAAGAACTATTACTCAGATTGAATTTCAATTCATATTACGGTAAAAACATCTCAAGTCATAACTCGCCGACTTTTGAAGTGTAAGAATATGTACGTGTCGTGGTTTTGCATCTGAACTACCTGTGACATCAAAATGTTTTTAATGTTTCCAGCCAGTTCAGACACAAACTATGATGTCAAGATTTTCTTGAAAGTCACCTTGACTGAAAGTTTCCGGAGATAATTCTTGTTTTCCTCGAGCAGCGTTCCTGGGAATGATTCAATTTTCTTCACGTTTTTTACCGTTATAAGTTTTTCATGACAAGTTTTGTTTTGACCGAAAACACTTGGAGAACAAGTGGTTTGTTTACTTCGAACGTGGATAAGGTTTGTTTACTTCGAACGTGGATAACATTAACATGTCAAGCAGTATTATACTTATTCGCATGGGGATTGAAGTCATTCAGTTACAAAAACAAGAATAATATTTATCAATACTGTACATAATTATTAACATTCATAAAACGTGATGTTCATCCGACGCAAATTTCGAAAGTCTGCTTTGTAGTACCGCCACAAAGCTGCAAAAATATGTTTATGTTAATTCTTATTTTCAAGAATTAACATATGAAAAAAATATATCTGGGAATAACTTTTTAAGCACTGCTATAGCTTTCAAAATTTCAGTAACGGCGAACTTCTGAAAAATGGGAAAACGTATGTAAAAAGACTAGAAAATATACTATTTAAAACATGAGCAGCCGTGTTTTATCAGATATAATATAAAGATACCAGGCAACGAGGCGAAGGTCTGATAAAACACGTACTGCGAATGTTTTAAATTGCTTCAAAAACGATCGATCTGGTAAGTTCATTGGCGAAGTAATTTTCAAAAAATACGTTGTGGAAGTCGAGAAAATCAAAGTTAAAGTTTATGTAAATAAAGGGAAATCTCTATCACGTATAAAGATACGACACGCTTATGATTTTTCTTTGTGTTTTCCTCATGAATTATTAATGAATTGTTGAACATAATACAGTATATGCACGCATGCGAATACAATACACTTCCTGGCTATATATTGCAAAACGTGACTGATAGGCAGAGCCGCTTTAATTCCAGACCTATCAGATTTTCTGGATGTATTTGCGCGTATCATACGTTCAATGCTAAGATTCTGTGGACTCGCGCGTCGAAAGTGTTGCCACAATATCCGTGTTTGATCAAAGATGGCTAAACGAATACATCTTCCCCACCGCAAAGCCACACGTTTGATTCTTCCGTCCTTTCTCATGATCGCTGGTTTGACGATATTTCTTTGTGGTTTGGTGCGAACATATCATATTGATGAAGTCCTCACCAAAAATGCCCACGATGAAAAGATGCTCCAATCACAGAATGAACACATGGAGTGGTGGGTTGGTTTCCCGGTAAGACATTCTTCTCACTTGTGTTTACAAACGTTGTTTTAACTCTTCCAAAATTTGTACATCTCTTTCGCGTCTGCTAAGACTTCGAGTGCCGGTAATAACTTGCACATCTTCGATAGTAGTGTAGTAGTTTTATACATGAGCGTCACTGTGTATTGTGCTTTTGTACAGTAAAAAATAAACATCATAAAATGTGTTTAAAATCATTAAAATGGCTAGTCAATTGATGGACAAACACAGTGTACCCAATTTCCGGTGTTTGTGATACTTTAAAAAGGTTTCAAATAACAATATCAATAAATGTGTTTGATATTTTATTTCCATATTAAAGCTTGGTTGAAAACATATATGGTCATATAAGATTAAAAGCCATGTAAACGAGTTGGGCGCTCGAAGACGAAGTGAAATTCTGAAATTGTTGTCAAAATTTAGAGATTTATATATACTGCTTATAAATCCTTATCTAACTGCTGTACTGACATGCTCTTGGTGATTTTTAAGATTTTTTTCATTGTTGACTTCAGTTCATGGCTTAAATTTAGGGACCGTTCATTATTTATACCCGGGGTTGGTACCGAAGAGAAGCAAAAAACACTGTAAATTTTCTATTTAACCAACCTCAACATTGGTCAAAATAATGTTTACCCAACCCATGTGTTACTGTACTTCATAATAATTAAACACACAAGATTACGGTGACAGAAATCAAGTTGCCTAAATTCTAAAAGCTCACAAACTCACTGAGTGTGCCAAAGCAATCACATTCCTGCTGATCAATGAAATAGTCCTTCCCCAATCACTGATTGTCTATTTTGGTACAGAATGTATTGTACACATTTTTCTTCATATATTCCAATGCATGGTAATTTTGGTTTTATTTTATAGCTGACAGACAGCCATAAATATTTTTACCCATCCCATGAGCTAGTCAAAAACTTGATTACCCAACCCATATCTCTTCGGTACCAACCCCGGGTATAAATAATGAACGGTCCTTAGTGTACGCGTATCGCTATAGACTACTTGTATATCTTCGATAGTGGTGTGCTAGTTTTATACATATGACCGTCATTATAGATTAGTCTATATATTGTGTTTCTGTGCAGTAAATAGACGGACATATTGTGGAACAACATAAAATGTACCTAAAATATTAAAACGGTGTGTTTAGTCAATTGATGGACAAACAATAGTATACCCAATTTCATGTGTCTGTGATACTTCCAAAAGGTTTCAAATAACAATGTCAATGACATTTTTAAAACTCACGGTAACGAGAAACCACTTTTGTTTTAGCCCCATATTAAACTTTTGTAATTGATCATGAGGTGAAAATATATATATATATATGACCGTATAAGATTAATAAAAATGTGTATAAAGTAAAGACGTCCAAATCCTAGCAAACATTGATTTGTTGTTTTTGTAGTTAATCGCGTGTTCAATTCTGGCAGTGTGTGCTGTGCTGTATGATCGACCATTAGGGGTGAGTGACACAGTTCAGGCGCATTACAACATTTTTAATTGATAAAACTAACTAGGAAAATCAGCAGATCAGTGAACTCGATGTTTTTTAACATTAAAACTTTGAATTGTTTTTCGAAACAGACCGAAACTTTCAGACTGGAAAAGCATTTTCTGTCAATGACGCATATTAAATATAGCCTAGGGATCATCTCCTTTAAAAAAAACGGAAAAGTTTAAATCTTTCTAAATTTTATATGAATACTAATTACCTCAACAAGCACACTCTAAATGCTTGCCGTGGTAGGCGGTTTTTCGACGGGCAGCGGAAATTAGGTATTTCCTTCGCCCCCCCCCCCC